ACTTAACCAGTCAAGGTGCCTCTGTGCTGAAGGATTTACGGCCACAGGGAATCACAGAGGTTGGGCAGGACCATGTGGTTCCTAATCCAATCTGCTGCTCCATGTAGGGCTAACCTCAAGCTGGATCAGGCTGCTCGGAGCTGTGTTTACAGAGGTGGAGGTTCTTCCACCTCTCTTGACTGAGTCTTTGAGATTCAACTGCTTCTCTGCCCATCATTTTCCATATACTGCATTTAATAGCTCCCTCCCTCCTTTCCTGGAGGCTGTAGCCTACAGGTACTTGCTGCTGGCTGTGAGATGCTGCTGTACTTGTCACTGGATCAAACTAGATCCTTTCATCTGACCAGCAGTGCTTGATCCTCCACCAACTGATCATTCTGGGAGTTGACCACCTTCCCGTGGTTTCCTGTGACAGCAGTCCCAGGGTGGAATGTCAGAGTGCAGGTACAGGAGCAGAGGTGTACAGGAGTGAGTTGTGCCCGTGCCCCGAGATGCAGAGCGTTGTTTCATCTCCCCATGGCAATGAGCTGGAGCAGTGCATGGCAGGGCCGGTTCCTGGGCTCTGCAGATCCAGCCTCTTCCTCCTCTGCATGTTCCAGCTGCCCATGTGTGCAGGTCTCTTCTTACCAAATCCAGCTCCTCCTCAGCCTGTGCTTTGTTTAATCCCATGGCTGTGAACAGCTCAGGATCTGTTAAAGAAAGAAGCCTAAAGGTGGGAGGGAGAACAGCCAGGGGAGGTGGCCTTGCTCTGCAGGTGAGTGATATCTGGCAGCCTTCGGGGCAGCTCAGCCCCTGGACTGCTGAAATGAGTTTCTCTCTCCAACTGTTGTCTTTTCTTAAATGAAATCGATGCTCTCAAACCTATTGTTTAGGGCCTCTTACACCTGCAGACCTCTTCCTCCCAGCTGCTGGGAGGCTTCAGGACCCCAGCCCCCTGTGGGTCTGTAAAACTGCCTCTCCTTGCTTCCAGGCCACTTGCTGAGCACCGCAGAGGTAGAGTCAGCCTTGCTCGAGCACGCTGCCATCTCGGAGGCTGCGGTGGTCAGCCACCCACACCCCCTGAAAGGCGAGTGCCTCTACTGCTTCGTGACCCTGAGAGATGGCCATGAGTTCACCAAGAACCTGACGGATGAGCTGAAAAAACAAGGTGGCAACAGCCAGATATTTTGGGAGGTTATGTGGCAGGGAGAGGGAGGACAGTGCTGGGCAGGTGACGGAGGGGTTAAGGGCTTGGGTGCTTGAACGAGGGTGCGTGTAGTCTGGGGAATGCATCATGGACAACTGCGACAAGGTGCCCCCTCTGATTAGAGAGCACGGCTGGCAAAGACTAAAATTAGTTCTCCTGGCCTTTGGCTGCTCATGTGATGCCATCTCTACCTCTTGGGAGTTGGCAGCCACGTGAAGGATTGGGGTACCCGGCAGGCTTTCGTTTGCAGCAGTGCTCGCGTGTGTGGGCATGGCTCCCACAGCTCTCCCTGGCAGATTTTGACTTGCTGTGAGGATCGTTCGGTTGCTTTGGGGTGGTGCTCTGGGTGTTTGTGCTCTGGTCTCAAGGGAGCTCTTTCATTGCCCCAACAGACTACAGCATTTAATACATGAAATGGACCCATGGCAGTTTCTTCTCTGTAGGAACCCAACAGCGAATCAGTCCTTGCTCTATCAAAATGGTTATAGTGATTGGTGTAGCCATTATAGAGGTTTCTTGAAGATGGAGAGAATGAAAAAATGAGTGCTCTTGCCTTTGGGAAGATGTGCTTATAGCCCCGTTGGCATGGCAGGTCTTGCTGCCCCCTCCCACAGCCTGGAGGCTGGGATGCAGCAGCCCTAAGCACTGCCCTACCAGGTTCCCCAGGAGCTGGGCTCTCCATGCCTTAACTTGGTCATCCTGCCTGAAAAGAATGTGTGTGGTATCTCCTAGTACCTACAATGAAAATCTTTTTTTTTTTTTTCCTTCCAGTCAGAGAAAAAATTGGACCGATAGCAACACCTGATTACATCCAGTATGCCCCTAGCCTGCCCAAAACCCGCTCAGGTAAGAGGCCCAGTGACAGTGCTGGGGAGGACAGAGTAGTTCCTGCCAGTGGAAGGAAATCAACCCTAAATTGCTTGTCCAGGGCTGCTCGAATTCAGGGGGGAGCAACCTCAGGGCAAGCAGGATGCTGCAGGTCTGGCACTCCCCGCTCCTGTTAAGGATGCTTGAAGAGATCTTGACTCCTGCTTTCCTTTCATGGCTGTCATTACAGGAAAGATTACCAGACGGATATTACGGAAGATTGCCAAAAATGACCAAGATCTGGGAGACATCTCCACTTTGGCAAACCCGGGCATCATAAAACATCTTTTCAGCAGCAGATGTGACACTAAACAGTAGCAGCATGACCTGTCCCTGCTGACCAGAACTGTAGCAGCAGCACTGTCCTGATGAGCAGGTCCCTTGAGTAACCGCTGTCTGCCCTGGGAGGGAAACCTTCACCTGTTGAATTGAATGTACAAACGTTACGAATGAGGGAAAAGCTGGCTCTGGAGAGGCTGTGCCTCACTAGCGTGTCCATGCTTTGGAAGAGTGTGTGCATCATGTTCCAGATGGGTATCACACATCTGAGGTTCAGCCTTGTGCACGGAGGGACTCATCCTCCTCCCTTTTCAGCACCTCATTCTTGATTTTTATTTTTTTTGGGGGGGGTGTTAATTAACTTTATGTAATTGAGGCGCTCTGGCACTTTGCGCACAGTGGGAAGGAACTTTGGGGGTTGGAGGGGAAGTGGTGCTGGAGTTACTCAGTGCAGGCAGGCAAGGGAGGTGCATCTGCCACTGCCCACATGCCAATAAGCTTCCTTTTCTACTTGGAGTGCCGCAAGCTGTGGGAGAACTTAAAAACACTCTTGCATCATAACTGTATAGCTGAGTTTTAGTCTTGCATCCACTGTCCAAGCCTGCTGCTAGCAGAGGTCGCCTAGCCTGAAAGAGAGCGTGGCAAGGCTTAAGGAAGCTCTATGCTTTAAACAGGTTTTTTTTAGAGCAGTTTGGTACCAAGATCTGCTACTTCCTAACTGCATGGTGCCAGCTGGTGTGTTTTTCCCAATCCAGAGGCCTTCACTGGCCATAGACATTGTAGGGAGCCACGTATGGTCTAGGAGGAAAAGTCTTGGTCTGACATGCTCCACAGAGCACTGCTTCCACCAGCTCACAGCTGAACTCACAGGCTGTTGCAGCTGGATGCTCCTTTTGTGTCCTGGGTGCTGTTGATACTGAAGGATGGAGGGGAAACAAAGCCATGCAGAGGCACCTTTCCCATTGCAGGCAAACCATGACCATTCCTACAGCAAAGAAACCAAGGCAGGCAGGGCTGTGTTAGTCCTGGATGATGTTTTCTCATCAGGAAGAAAATGGTGGAAGATGTTTAAAGTTAGCTTTGCTTAAATCTGATGTGGGTTTATAATGGTGAGAGGAAAAAACCCCAAAACCTCTAGCCCGAGAGCCTGAACCTCACAAGGATACTGCCAAAGCCATTCTTCTTCAAATGAATTACATTTAACTCCAGCCCTGGGTCGTGCTGGGAAATCTCTCTCCTTTGTAATGTCTGTATGAAAATTGCATGTGAACTGTTCACTTTTGCACTTAAACCAAAGGAGAAATGGGCTTTAAAACTTGCTGCAACAGCTGGTCTGGCGAGTGCCAACATACAGGCTTTACCTGCAAACTGAGCTGACTTTTGGCTGCGCTGGAAAGGATGAGGCAACCGCCTCTGAGGCTGGTTGCTCAGGGCAAGTGTTGCAGGTGCTCTGGTGGGCTGTTGTCCAAGTCTCACTTCTTACCTGCTGCTCTCACTGGCGTGGCACTTGTCTGTGATCTATAACCTCGGTGTGTGCCAGTGACCCATGCGTCCCCCACAGCTCTGTACCACTGGATCGTGCCACCTTGTTGACAAGGATTCCTACATAATCTCTCCTCCTCTGTTACTCTTTGTCTGCTATGTTGTTTTGGCTGGAAACAGCTATAATTTTATGCAAAATGCAATAAAATTCAAGAAAACAAAATGGAAAGAGGCTTAGAGCATGTGCTTGGGTTGTAGGTGCTTGTCTGCTGTTGAGTCTAGGGGAGATGGGGGTGCTCAGACATTGCTGTTGTATGTGCTGTGCCATAACCAGGGTAGGCTACTGCCAGTGCGATGCTCTTTCACGGACTGGGATTTACAGGCTGTGACTCAGTCTGCTGCTGCTCTGCACCGGGGCAAGGGCAGAAGCTCTGGCTCCAGGGCTGGAGCCTGTGCCTCAGTTTCTCCCTGGTTTCCAGCCAACATTGTTCCACCAAGGCTCGTGGAAAGCACAAGACAGTGCGACGCCCATCTGTCATCAACCCCCCCCACGCAGGACTAATGCCAGGGAGACAGACAAGCACCCAAGGAAGCTCGGGGCTGTTGATAGCTGCCTCCCCTCCACACCAGGCCTGGTCCTCACCCAGGCACAGCAATGGATACCAGCCTCTGCCTCCAGTGTCACCTTTGGCTCAGGCCTCTCCAGCAGCTCAGGGGCCCTGCTACAGTGCTCTCCTGCTCCTCACAGCTGCATCTAACCTTGTGGCCCTTGCTGCTCCAGCAAACTGCACAGTCACAGCACCAGGCTGAGAGTGTTTCCTCCCCAAGACTGTCTTACCTGGCACCCCCCACCCCAGCAGCTCTCCATCCACCGGTTGTGCTGGGCCAGCGCTGCAGAGCCAAGTGCCAGGACACATCTCCGACACGGTGCTGCGCAGCCTTACAGCACCCAGAGCAGAAACTGGTGGGTTGGCTTTAGCTGTCCCCACCGTGAAGGTACATGAAAGGGCCATGCACAGGTGTACAGCTGCCCAGAGGCCCTGCCTGCCCTTCGCATCTAGTCTCGGACAAAGTTAGCACAAGAACAGTGTTCAGATTGCACATACATTTTAATCTCTGGCTGAGGGTACTCAACACCCCCTAACGAAACAACCACCCAGGAATCACAGAATCAGTCACACTTTCCAAGGTGAAAGATTGCTAACTGAAGCACACAGCGTTGCCACACTGCAGCAATGTGCCCAGCAGGGTGCAGGTCTGTCACTCGGCCCAGTCATTCTTCAGAAATACTGGCTTTACACTGCTTCTCTCTGCTGTCACTAAAAGGGTAGAGCTGAGGCTACCTGGGTGCTTTACCAGGGCACTGCCAGAAAGGCACACCTTCTGTTTCCCCTTGAACTGCTCTGCTGAGGAGGAAAAGGAGTGGAGGAAGAGGCAAAAGCCCATGGGATGGAGAGCCTGCACGACCCTCCACTGCTGCGCTGTTCCCACTGATTCATGAAACCTGGAGGGAGACATGTCTCATCGTCCGCTGATGCTGGTCCCAGAGTGAAGCGCTGCTTGGGAGGAGTACCCAGTCCAACAAAGCAGGAGTTAGGCAAAGCAAAAGCAAGCAAGAGGCCCTTGGGCAAATTACACCAGGGCAGCTGTCCCTTGTGCAGGAACCCTGAGGATCCTCAGGCACCGGGAAAAGTAGAAATCAGGACAGCAGCAGCAGCTGAAGGAGGGCTGGAGGGGCCATGGGCACATGGAGCTGGGCTCCCCTCTTTAACCCGGAAAGCACTGAGGCACTGGGCCACAGTTCCCACAGATGAAGGCTGTTACTTGCGCATCCACCTTTCTCCTCCCATTCCCTAGGCTTTGTGTTTCCAGAAATAATGCAGCATCAAGGAGCACGAAACTGGGAACAGTGCGAGTGGCTGTTCTGCTGTACGTACCCCTGCCAGCAGGCTAGACCCCAAGGGAACACCCAGAGCAATGCAGTCCTGGGAGGTCACAGCTGGGATGGGCAGGGCCCCCTGAGCAGGCAGAGCAAGGGAATCCCTTCTTCCTGCAGAAGGAATGGCAGAGAAGAAGCTGGGGCTGGGACGCAGGACGTTCGAGCAGTTGTGTCCACGCAGTCCCTCCTCGCTGTCCCGAACACGTCAGACCTTGGTAAGCGCACCCTAAGGAGAACATCGCTGTGGCAGATCAGCTCTTCGGGCAGCAGAGGGAGGTGGGCAGGATGGGGCATCGCCTCCTCACACCAAGTAAGGAGTGTCCAGCCCTGCCACCCCAGCCGCTACCCCGCCGTCTGCGTGCTCAATCGCCTTCGTCCGCAGGAGGTGGCCGGCAGCCTTGTTCATCACCATCTCCTTGCCCTGTCTGCAAAGAAAAGGGCAACTGAGCAGAAAGCTTACGGCATTTCATCTTGGACAATTTGATTCACGTTCCCTGCCACAGCGCAGGGCAGGTAACAGGCGTGTAAAAGCCCCAGGGCTAATGCAGAGGTCTCTGCAGACAACAGAGCTGCGCCTGTTTTGTGCCTGCCAGCAGCGGTGCCCTTTCTCAGCTGGGCCATTTTGGTCTGACTGCTCTGCACACAGGCAGTGTCAGGTTCTGAACGCTGCCAGAGTACATTTGTTTCTAAAATTGTACAAGAAGGACCTTAATTTATAAACTACGGAAACATTTCTATGGGCCCATGAGGGTTTTAAACAAAAGCAGCAGCTATTTAGGGTTGAACACGACCGCATTAAGCCTTCAGATATTACTGAGATCACCAGGGCTTCAGAAAAGCATGTGGCTGCATCCAGAACCTGAGAAGTGCTCCCAGAAATCAGGGATGAGACACGCCAGTTCCACGTGGCTGTTACACCCATAATGGCCAGCACCAGCTCTGCAGTTTTTCAACAACTCGTTTGGCAGCAGGTACAGAGCAGCAGTTCAGCATCGGAACACGCTGTCAAGGCAGGACATCAACTCAACAACCTGCCCAGGTCCTAGTGCTCAGAGAGCTGCTGATAGGGGCAGATTCTGAATGGTCATGTCTGTCCCCTGTACCACCACCTCCCAAGAAACATCTGCCCTGCCGCTGTGCTCAGACAGCGCAGAGGGAAAAACGCTCCCAACCCAAGTGCCGGCTGGAGCAGGTAACCACCCCGTAACACAAGCACATTTCTCACCTGACATAGACACCAAAAATACCGAGCTCCGAGATGCACTCGGACACTTGTAGGGGACTGTGAGCCCTCAGTAAGTAATTAATTGTTGGCTGTGGTTTGATCTTATCCATCAAGATGTAGGAGGTCCTCTCAGGGCTGTCTCTGATCTTCTCCAGAACCTGCCTGAGCTCTTCACCATAGAGGTTGTTCCCTGACAACAAAACCAGCAAGTCAAGCACTTCCCAGCACAGCAGAAGCCGCTGGCCCCAGCGGCCTAAACAGACCCAGCCTTTGCCTCCCCACGTGCTGCCTGGTCTCCCCACACCCCAGCTCTGGGGCCTAAGGAGCTCCTCCAGGAGCAGCATTACCTTACTGCCATGACTAGTCCTCGTGGCTACAAGCAGCTACAAGCCACCCCACCCCACCTTTCACCCCTCAGCACAGGAGCAGGAGCCATCACAGAGCTACTGCCTCTCCTGGATACAGCACGAACTGCAAAGAAAACCCACACGGACCCAGTCCAGCTCATACCTCCACCTTCTCGCTGCGGCTTCAGCACAAACTGGTCAGGGTCAGCAATAGCCATAGCAGCTATCTTGTCGCCCTCTTCGCCCTGGCAGGAAAGGATGGCAACAGCAAAGTGTCAGGGAGGAGCAGGGGCTCCTCGACAGACCCCTCTGAGCAGGATCAACAGGGTCCCCCAGGGACCACAACAAAGCCCTCCCATCTTCTTAACCAAAGAGAAACATCGTGCAGGCCAAGCAAACATCTGCATGTCTGTTCCTGCTCCAGCCCCGCTCACACTCACCACATCCAGGGAATAGAGTCCAGCAAACGTTGCTCTTATTCGAGTGACAGCCTCGGCGCGGCCGGGCAGTAATCTCTCCAGCGTCCCTGGCCGGCTCAGTTCCTGCTGGACTTTCTTGGTGCCTGCGAGTTGGGTAGCAATGTCAGGGCACTTCACTGCCCTCGATCTCTCCAGCAACAACCGTGCCTCCCAGTTCTGAGACAGAAAGAGAGCAACCATCCCATCAGCCAAAAACCAAAAGGTTTTCTCCACTCTTTTCTGTTCGGTTATTGACATACGATTTGCCTCCTCCCTCCCTGCCTGGCAGGGATGGAGGGTGGGAATAGCATTCCGGAGACAAGCAGACACGCGTACATGGATTTCCCACCAATTCTGGAAACAGCACAGGCAGATTAGTCCACTGCCTTTGCCTGCACTCCCTCCCCAGCTTGTCCAGTGCTGCCACCTCCAGACAACAACAAGATTTGGTCTGTATTATTATTACCTGCAGCCTAATACTCCTAGTAGAGGACGAGTGTGATCTGTAGATCAAGTCTAAACCCTTTAAGCAGGTGCTAATACCTGTGTTATTGTACAGAAGCAATTCAGTGCTGCAGTAAGAGGTCACCACATAAGCGGTTATTGGAGAAGAAAGCCACTCCTTTTTCTTGCTGCGTGAGTGCCAGGGACACCCACAGGCACTGCAGAGTTACAGCGTCCCTATGCTATCAGTCAGCCACGTGGGACAGGACTAACGCCACCCAGGACAGGAGAGATGCCCCTGGGATCACAGGGCGTTTCAGACTCGCTGGGCAAGGCCACAGCGTGGGTGGCTTCTCCGAGCAGAGCGGTCAGTACTGACCTGCTGGTCGTAGTTCTTTGGCACGTAGCCCTCTCTGTAGTACACCACTGCTACCTCCTGGCCGTCCCTGGAACAGAAACCAGAAGCATTCACAGAACCAGGCCAGTCCCTGCCCGCCTCTGCCCGAACCCCCCAGCACCAAGGGGGCTGCAAGGGGGTCAGGCAGGCAACGCGTTACAGCATTTACCCCTTCTCCTCGGCCTCGTGGGCTGTTCTGCTCCTGGCTGGCTCTGCCAGAGAAAGCTGAGGACTGCAAGCCCTGGCTCCTATCCACTGAGCCCCAGCTAGCTTGCACTGTCCTGAGACACAGGGAGCTGACACCTGGCCTCTGCCCTGACTAACCAAAGTCTCAATAATTCAGGCACCCAGCCCAGCAGGGAGGTAAGAACCTTTTTTTTTTTTTTTTTTTTTAATAGCTTTTGCCACTGGGAACCAGGCCTGGGAGATTCTTGAAGCCGGGAGGGAACAGGGTCCTTCTCCGGTGGCAATTCAAGGCAGGACATCAACTCAACAACCTGCCCAGGCACCCAAACATCCTGCCAGGGCAGGGCCGTCAGCATACCTGTAGCACCACACACCCAAGCTTTGGCCACACAAACTGCGCATGTGGTCAGGGAAAGCAGCACAGAAACTGCTGGCAGCCCGGCAGTGTGACTGTAAAGGCATTCATCAGTAAGAGGAGAGGATGCTCTGGAGGAAGTACAGTGGATACACTTTCCCCTTAACTGTCTGGCGATGACAAATGTATTCGTTAATTAAACACAGCAGAGGCACCAAAGGTCAAACCATGGAAAAATTAGCCTAACTACAGAAAAAACATTGGCATGAAACCATATCTTCCTTTAGGCTTGTACAGCTCCAAGCACATTACCCTGGAAATAGGACAAATGTCACACTTGGGACCATCTGCCAGCACTTGGAGTCTGTGACCTGCACGTCCTGGCCTCCACAGGGAATGCTGAGTGCATTCAAAACCAACAGATACCATAAAGACATGTAATGCTTCGTCCTCTAGCACTAGTAACCCAGCCCAGCTCCCGCTGGCAGAGCACCACGTGAACAGCAAACAGGAAATGTCTTTGTGGAAGCCTCTGAAATAGCCAGGACTTTTCATAGCAGATGTACATGGAGGAAGTGAAGATCCCGCAGAGCTCTGAAGGCTGCGGCTTGAAGGAGGGAAATTATGTTTCCAGCTGTAAGGGACTGATGGGTGTATGCAAAATCTCACCACTGTGAAAACAAAATCATTTCAGCTCTAAGGGGAAGCAGCAGCAGCCTGGAGCACGGAAGAGAATGGCTTTCTCAGAAAGTCACTATTTACACTCAAAACATACCACCAGCTTTGGTTGAAAATTCCCATTTACAGCCCTGTGTGCCCACCACACAGCCAGGAACGCGCACCTTGGCTCATACTCACATATACAGCCTCTTGGCATCATCCAGAGACCCCTTTTCAAACACATCTCTGAATCGCTTCCTGATGACCCGAATATTCCTGTTAAGAGAGGAGCAGGAGAGTCACCAGGCTGGGCATAGTTACTTGAGCTAGAAATCACAGGTGGAACCGGCGGCTCCAGCAAGGAGGATCTGTAGGCTCCTTCACAAATGACCTCAGGCTTTGTACTATGGAGCCAGAGGAATCCTACAGGCCAAAACAGTCCCTGTTCTTAGCACCTGTCCTATGTTTCCAGCACAAATACTGTAGGAATCGGAACATGTGCCTAAACACCCTGGATTTCTCCATACTCACCTTTCACCTCCTAAAGTGTTTCTAAGAGAAGTCAGTATTTTGGGGTTTTTATCACTACACAACAGATTCACTCACTGTTGGCTTCAAAGCCAAGAGTTGCCGGCTTGGAAGAGTGACTTCCTGCATGTTCTACCTCCTTCACGCTTTATAGTCTTTCCTCCACACAGCGGCAGTGTGGACTTGCTGATATGGAGACACAGCGCGACACACCTCCCACTGCTCCAGCAACAGGCTCAGGGCCAGACCTTATCAAAACACCTCCTCCTCCCGAGTCCTTTACTCCATGGCCGCGTTGCTTACTTTGCCCAGATCTTTCACAATGGGTTTGATGCTTCGTTAATTAAGCTCTTATGAAATACCCTGTGCCCAATCCCAAGTCAGAGAGCAAGCAGGACCCTCATTAACCCCGCTCTGCTCCTTATTGTCTCGTCTAAGAGACTTGGCCCACAGCAAAGCTACCACTGGTGCAGCTCTGAGGACTACACAGGCACAAAACCAGCAAGGAATCAGCCCTGGAGACCAGAGGCTTTGATGGCTGCTGGTATTTCCAGCGAAGAGCTGGTGAGTGGCTTTGGGAGGTTGGTGAGAAGCCGAAGGCGGGTGCTGAGGCTAGGCAGGAGGCCACCGAAGGAACGCTGAAGAGAGTTGCATAACAGACCACAGAGATAAGTCCAAGATAAAGGCTGCCCTGTTACATACCAAGACATGCCCTCTCGCAGTCCCAGAAACTATAAAGTGTTTTGACTTTATCCTTAAGTAGGTGACAAAGTAAAAAGCACACAGATTCTGCACGCCTCCATCTTTCCCTGGCCTGCTCCTACGTTCCTGCCGCCACGCCGTGCCTGCTGCAGAGCCTGGAGACGCCCCACACGCTGCCTTGAGGGAAACACCACGGTCTCGCAGCAGTTGGCTCTGCTTCCCTTTTCCAAAACTGTACCATCTCCTTCCTTTCCCATCCCAGGAAAATTCAACCTTTACCTGTTCCAAAGCTCATTTTCTACACATCGCTGATCAAAAATGTTCCTCTGGACTTCCTCCACCAGAAACATCACCACAGCACTGGAAGAGATACCAAGGACATCATTAAACCCAGAAACACTCCACGTGCACCCAGGATCACCAGCTTTTGATCTCTGCGATTCAGGCTTCCTGCACTACTCCTGTTCGTTTTCTCCAGTGTTTCTAAGGGTCAGCATGCAAACGGAGAGCAGTACTGATCCTGCGTAATTACCAAACCGGTGCGGGGCATAAGCACAAGGGCAGGAGGAAAAGCAAGCTCTTGTGCAGGGTTGTTGAACCACACAACTCCTCCAGGGTCCCTCTGCACCCCTCTGCCTTTGCGACACAGCAGCCTTGCGTGCTAAGACAACCGCATTGCTCTTCCCAGGGTGCCACAGGCTTTTCGAGAGCAGCTTGTCTAGCAAACAGGCATCTGTCAGAAAGCGCAATTTCAAAACCAAACACGTGCATCCCCAGAGGAGACAAGATAACCCAGCCTCCAGCACCTCCTCTCTCCTTACCTTTGAGAACCGTAGAGCTCCCAGGCTTTCGCAATACCCAAGGCAAGCCCTTTCGATGGGTTGTTGGGCAGCAGGCGCGATGCCTCCTTAGACTTTCCCAGCATTTTCAACACCTGCCTGTGGAACAAAAAAAAAAAAAAAAAGCTGTAAATGCCACGACAGCCCCTGACCAGACCTACGGAGCAGGAGTTTGGAGAGCACACAAAGACACAGAGTGCAGCAGGCCATGCAGTACAGCTGCTGCAGCGCCTGGCGGCACGGGCCGGAGATGTTCCCTTACCCGTGGACCGCCGCAGTGCGGGAGGTGAGGCCTCCAAAGCTGGCAGCAATGGTGTTTATTTCTATCTGCTTCAGAGCCGGTGTCCCATCCACCCCACAGTCAAACATGTAATCAGAGCGGTTTATGCCTAAAAACACAGACTGAAACAGAGGGGAGGTGAAGTGGGTTCTCCTGTTGCCTTTAACTGCAAACCCCTTTGATGACCTCACTTCAAAATCCTCCTGGGGCAGATCCAGTCACCTTCATTTTGATAAAAACTTCTGCAAGACGTGCCCGAGGGTGCTTTGGCCCTTGCTCAGGGCCCACTGAGCAAGCCCTCCTCAGTACTCCAGAGGAGTTAACACCACCCGTAAGAGTAAAGGACCTCCTGCAGGGACAGCCTGTCCGGCGCAGGTCCCGGCACGGCACACATCCTTGCACTCTCCCGAGGCTCCCAGAGGACAAGGACAAACCATGTTAAATCCTCCCAGTCAAGGCCTGACTGTTTCCAGCAGCACTAACCAAAGGGCATGACTGTCAAATAGGGCAAGGTCCCGAGCTCACAGGCTGTAACCGAGACATCGTAGCGAAGGGAGCGACCAGCCTGACTACGGGACAGTTCAAAGCCCACGGCAGCAAGCTTGCACAAAGAGACCAGGCAATTCCATCGCAATGCAAAGGGGCGCAGCTGCTGACCACTGGGGTCTCCTGCCAAGGTACCTGAGCCAAGCCTTCCTCCAAAACTTGCACGTGGATTCTGAAGAGTTGAGCTGTGAAGTCATCTACCTTGACGGTGCTAGAGAGAAAGACAGACCAGATCAGCCCCCTTACACTGTCACAGAGGAACAAGAAAATTAATTCCTCTCCAGAAAAAAACCTTACCAGGGACATTCTCCAGCACAGATAGCAGGGCTGTGGCTAGACCAAGTTCAACAGCACTGTTAAGCATCTCACCATGAATGCACTCTTCATCAAGGGCCACAGAGCATAACCGTAACGCAAATCCAGTTTGCTCAGCACAGCCACTCCACAAAAAGCATCGCTGTGCAGAGGTGATTTCCATTTGCAGGGCAGAGAGACGGGACAAGCAAAAGCAAAGAAATGCAGCAGAATTCTGCAGATACAGGAAAGAAATCAGAAGTTTCTCCGTGCCTCTACACACAGTTCATAGAAGCAGCTTCACGAGCTTCATCAAATTCCCCCTGTCCTGTTGGGCTCCAAATCCCGCACACTGTGGTGCCACGTGCTTCAGTGGCCCTGCTAGAGCAGGTCTGGCTTTTCTTCAGGGTCCCAAATCCCTGAGTTAATTGCGAGCAGCACCTCCAAGGAGCTGCCCTGAGACACTGCGCAGGAGGCAGCACTGGGCAGGCACCTGAGTGCACACAAGCCCCAGGCGCTGCGTTCCTTAACCACAGGTATAAACGTGCCCCCACAAGCTCTGGTTGCAGCCAGCTCTGGAACAGGCGCAAGCATTAAAACATCTCCGAGGGGTCAGGCTTCAGCAAAACAAGAAGGACGCTGGAAAACAGTCTCCTTTGCTCTGTCCCGGTGCCAGAGAGCCAACAGCACCTGCGCAGACAGGCAGCAGAGAACGGGCAGCAGGAAGGGCCATGGGTTTTGTAGAAACATCAGCCCTACAGATTATGGGGGCCACAGTCAGGGATGGTCGCTCCAGCATAGGGCAACAGCCACAGATAAATCCAGCAGAGTTCACGAGCCAGAGCTGACCAGTCCTCAGCACCCAGAGCTCGCGGGTCACCTTCCCAGCATGGCCAGGAAAGCAGGGGACACAGGGTGATTGATCAGAGGTAGGTGTGGGGGAAGGAACAAACACCTTCTCTTCATAACTGCGGGCAGGCAGCAGAGCTGGTGGTTATCGGATAGCCACAGGCGGATGCAAAACCCCACTAAAAGAGACTACTAAATCCAGGACTCAGAGAAGATTCCAGCAATTTGAATCTAGGGCCCAGGGGCCAACAGCTCACAAGTAAGAATTCACAAGCTTGAAACACTGGCAAAATTGAAGATCATTGGAGGGAGTCAACTCTTGGCCAGATGCCCCATCTTCTAAGGCCCAAGGAGACCTCAAAACACAGAGACTTGATGGAAATTAATCTTAGGACAAATAATGCAGCAAAGGAGACAATTTCCGCAGAGGACAGGAGTGCCCACCTCAGCTTGAAGGACATGAATGGATGGAAGGTCGGAATGCCTAAAACATGATAAATGCTTTGCATTTAAAATATTTCATTAAAATGCAACACGCAAGAAAGTTACCTGGCCAGAGTATCCTCCAGGAATTCTTTGTTTTGACTAATAGCATCCACCAGCAGGTTAAAATCTTGCTGAACAGCATACGCTTGTTCAAACAGGACACTTGGTACTGCGGATGGGAGCAGCGTGAAGGGAGCGTAATTCACCACCTGCAAACAAGGATGCAGCAGCAGAGCAGTCAGGTCTACGCAGCTTAAATGGGGCTAAAGAGGTGCTTCCTCTGCTTGTCTGAAGGCTGAAGCCACCCCCAGCCCTCCCCGGTGCACTCTGGACAGACACACGGCCTCAACCCTGCTGACTTCTGAGGGCTTTACTTTACGAGCCGTCTGCAGGGCGCTGCAGACGCAGGAGCAGCTGCTCCAGAGCTCAGGCTGGGCCGAGTGCTTCCCTCTGAAGGATGCTCTGTTTCCACCTTAACTGGAGAGCACGGTCTCCAAAACGCCTCAGCTTCAGAGAAAAGGTGAATTTGCTAGTCCTGGGGTTTGGCCATCAGAGTTGCTTCCTTTGATCCCTGCTCACTAAGTCCCAGGGGTGACTACAGACCCCTGGCTCACCCCACAGCTCAGGCACAGGGCCACCCTCAAAGCCGAAATATTACACTAGAGAGAAGTTCCCAGTTCACCTTGATTTTCACATGAGACAAGGGACACTGGCAGTGTGTTTGGCCTCTCCTCCCAGGCTCCCTCTTCCTCTCACCCTTTGAGGTTCCCTCAGAGCCCTGACCTGACCATGGGGTTGACATCAAGGAACAGCCCCAGTGGTGGAGACCTCCCTCCTCGTACCTCTGCCACCTCCCAGCGCAGCTGCCTGCTTGTCCCCAGGCTCCTCAGGGACCCATCCCCAACGGTGTCCCACCCCTCTTCTTCTGAGACACCTCATGGCATCCCCCTCCAACAGGACGAGCCCCCCATCAGCGCCCCTGCCCCAGCCAGCTACCAGAGATTCACCAGAGGTAATCCCAGGCATCAGCCACCCCCGTCCCAGTCGCCTCATCCCAGGTACGGGGCAAAGGCTGACTTGCAGCTGGGAGCACGCCAAAAACAGAGGCCCCTCCAAGGGACGTTCCCCTGGTTCAAAGGATCGTACGTGTGGTGAGAGGCTGGGAGAGGGATGAGCTCCCACCACCGCACACACGCAGGGCTCCTGGCAATTTCCCAAACCTTTCCAGATCTATCCTTCTCCTTGGAAAAGGGGAACCGTATTGCAGGGCTGTCTCTCGGGGAGACGCACTCATCGGCGGGATGGGGCGTGAGTTACAGCCCCCAGGTCGCTCGTGCTCCAGCCAGGCAGCTGGGTGCTCGCTGCAAAGCGGTGCCCGTTGACGAGG